TTTTTTTGCGAGGGGAGGGGAGGTACAGGGATTGAACTCAGGGGTACTCAACCACAGAGTCACATTCCTGGCTTTATTTTTTGTATTTTATTTAAACAGTCTCGCTAAATTGCTTAGGGCCTCACTAATTTGCTGAGGCTCACTTTGAACTCGCAATTCTCCTGCCTCAGCCTCCTGAGCTGCTGGGATTATAGGCATACACCACGGTGCCCAGCAGCAGTCGACTTCTTCCTCACAAAAATCAGCCATTTACTCTAGTATTAAAATTACACTCTTATCTTCCTTCTTCAGGATAAATACCTATGATTCCTTGCAACACTCTTCATTATCTAACATTATATTTTTATGTTTTCTCAAATCTCTCCAATTTCTCTTTTTTACATCTTTTAATTCTTTCTTTCTTTTTTGAGGGCAGGTAGGGATACTCCCAGGGGCACTTAATCACAGAGCTACATTTCCAGCCCCTCTCTCTCTCTCTCATTATATATATATATATATATAATTTTTTTTTGAGACAGGCTCTTACTAAGTTGCTGAAGCTGGCTTTGAACTTGTGATCTTCCCATCTCACTGGGATTATAGACAGGCATGCATTACTATGCCCAGTCTTTCATTAGCTCAAGTGCTCCTCCTGCCCCAGCTCCCAAGTAGCTGGGACTACAAGCATGAACCATAATGTTCCCTTCACCTTTTTAAAATAAAATGATCCAAATATGATATCAGTGAATAATAGATAATTTGTAAATAAGTATAGTACAATACTAACATGGCTCCCTAAAAAGAATCTCTTTTGCAAAGAAATTAATGAATCAACTACAAGGTTGGAGGATAGAGAATCAAACAAACAAAAAAAACCACGATCTCAAGAAACTTTCGAGTTACTTCTCTGCCGGTATGTTTGTGTCCTCACAAACCAAAAAAACACCAATCTTCAATTACTTCACCTTTATAATCTCCCATTCCCAGACAAGAAAGAACTCCCCTCTTCAGCACCAACCCCCACAACAAAGGTAGAGGGACTTTCGTTACTATGAATTAATTGTAGTTATCTCCCCAAGATTGGGAAGTTTTTTTATTTTCACAGTATTTTTTATTTTCATATTAAGGATAGAACTCAGTGCCTCATATGTGCTAAGCAAGTGCTCCAACACTCAGCTACACCCCCAGCCCTCAACAGGCAGTCTTTAAAAAAAAAGGTCTTACTATCTTCTCACTGTTGACAATTACTTAATACAATTGTTGAAACTACTTCCTTTAGTTCAAAAATATATATATCATTTTTCTCAACTGAAGAAAAGGGAACAAGGTTATGAAAAATTAAGCTGGGAAGGAGAGAAAGAACTCTTCTTTTAAACTAAATTTCGCTAATGATTTGTTTTTCCATAATGTGGGCAAAATATTTACCTTTAAGATAATTAAGTAGCATTATTCTGAATTAAAGAATAATATCCCTTCTCCCAAAAAAATTCAGAGAAAACAGAACTAATGAGAAGAGGAGATAAAAGATAAGACATTTAAAACAGAGACAGATTGTAGGATATTTACTTAGGGAGAAAAGAGTTGTAATCAATGGGAGAAGAAATAAATAAATCTGTCCCTCAAACTACTCAGAAGTCATGGACGCAAAATATAATTTAATTTTGTGTTTCTTGTTTTAAAAAAAAGCAATAATATGGTTACTTGAAATAAGTTTCAAAGAATAGAGAAAAATGGATTTAAGATCATCGATGTACATGAAAGGGTACCAAATATAAAGCAAAATTTTATAATAAAACCTTCTTTCATGAAAAATTGAGCAAGGAAAAAGTAGCCATAAAAAAGTTTCTATAATTCAACAATATACTTCAAGTTTAAGTTGGTTTTTATACCTCTCTCATAAAACAACGAACAGGAAGCTATACCATAAAAATAAAGGGAAGAAGATGCTATGAGTTACTTCTACCTCTTAGACCTACTGGGATCATGGCTGCATCAGGAAAAATCCTAAGAGGTTAAAGTCCACCCCATACCCAAGATCAAACTCTACTCCCACCCCACCTTGGCTCAATGGTTTTCTCCCACTGTGGTGAGGATGGTTTTGGAAAAGCTCCTCAAATGCCAGGAAACACTGTAAATACAAAAAGAAAGAACAATTCATAAGTACCAAAACTTAACTAACATTTTGGTCTCTCTCACAGGGAAGATTGGTATAATGGAAAAAGTACTAGTCTACAAAGAAATCAAGCTCTGGCTGTAATTCCGGGTGATTTGGGGGTCAGGGTGAAGGATCCAGGATACACATTGTTTTTGATGTTACTAAACTGGTAATATAAGCCAGAAACTGTTGATGCATCTCTGTCACTAACTGAGTAGGAAAAGGAAGTCATCAGAGAAGTTAGCAGAACTAAAGGATACAAAGAGACATTTCTGATAAAATAACTTCAGAACCCGGTCCCGAAGTATTTTTCCATCTAAGGTTGTCTATATTGGGTTTCTATGACTGGCAAGTAAATCTGGTCACTATACCTGGGTCCTAATTCCACAGTGAACCTCAGCAAGAACCCATCTTCTGGCCTTTGTTTCCACTTTCATAAAGCTTTCAATGCATTTGAAAAGCACTAAAACTTTTTTTTCTTTTTAAATAAAATCTCACTGAGATATAAAAAATAAGTCAGGCATGGTGGAGCACATCTACAATCCCAGCTACTTGGGAGATTGAAGCAGGAGGATTGGAAGTTCAAAGCCAGCCTCAGCAACTCAGTGAAGCCCTAAGCAATTTAGTGAGTCCTGGTCTCAAACTAAAAAAGGGCTAAGGATGTAGCTAAGTGATTTAGTACCCCTGGGTTCAATCCCTGGTACCAGAAAAATGACTATACTCATAATATATTTTGTGCATTGTTAAATAGCAAATTCACATCTATTTCTGACCAAAATCAACAAGAACAATGACTAAATACTCCTCACTTTGAGACCAAAAATAAGTGACTCTATTACTATAAATGTACATTGTAGACCAAAAATGATATTCACTCATTAAGACCAGAATCAATGAGAACAAGGCTGTTTTGATATATCAAAACTTTAAAATCAAAGACTAATGGCAAAAACTCATGATCCAATTTATTTTTATATTTGTTTTAGCTGTACATTATTGAGATAATCTTAATTCCAGAAGAATAGTTTCAAAGAATAACATATTTCCACATCTGCCTTATCCTGATTTAATTAAAAATGGAGAAAAACTTTAACTTTTGAACAAAAGAAAATCAGCCTGATGGCACAAATTTTCTAAAAACTCTTGAACTGGTTAAAATTTAGTAAATAATATAGTTAACATTCATGTGTTGGTTTCTAATTAATTTAAAAAGCAAACTAAAATCAAATGTTTATGAATCTACTTAGTGCTTTCATAGATTTCTAATAAAATAAATCTTTCATTTTTAAAAAATATTTTTTAATCTAATTCATATACACTGTCTACAGAAAATTATAATGTAAGATATATAAGAAATTAATGGATTTTTTAATAATGTCTATTTAAAGTAAAGAAAAATTTCACCACCAATTCATATTCACAATCTTAAGAGAGTTATGAGTATGGCCAAAACTTGAGACTATTACAGTAATAATCTATTCAATCTTAATGAAAACTATTTGATAGAACAGATCACTGAAAGTGCTGTAAAATGTTTATTACATAGAAGTGACAATATTAAGACAGAAATGAATACCTCTCCATCTCCAATTGTTAAGAAGCTAACAGTCTAGCACAAAATACAATTTATATATTCAACAAGGGTGTCTCCTCAGTGCCGCCAGTCACTGTGCAAGCAACTAGGGCTAAACAATGAACCAGATACAAGTGATCCTACACCCTCATAAATTTAGTATTTAACCTATAAGTATTTGATAACTAATGAACACTTTGGAAAAAGAAAGGTGGGGGTGAGGAAAGAGACTATATGATTAATTAACATTTTTGAGAGACTGTTGGCTACTATGTGAAAGTTACTATAAACTGGAGACAGTAAGCTCCAAATTAGATAAGTTAGGACAATGATAATGGCAATGATGATGACCTTAACAGGAACATAAAAGAGGGAGCAACAAACTCAGTTGAAGTATAAGGAAACAAAAAAATATTTCACAGAAGTAATGTTACAGCTCAATCCTGAAAGACAAGGAATAGAATAAATAAAGGCAAAGATGCAGTGAAACCAAATAACAAACATGTCTGGGAAACTTCAAGACGTTCCTCACAGTGAATCTTGAATGAGGTGAATCACAGCTGCAATGATAGATTAAGAAAAAGACAGTAAAGGCTATATTATAACAAAGGAAGTATACCACCTCTAGGACATGGATGAGTAAGCAGTGTGCTTATGTAACCAGCCTTACATTTTAGAAATAATTCTTTCAGGGACAATTAGCCTCAAAAAAAATACAAGCAGCCTAGCCTTGTGCCACCAGTCACTGCACCAGCAACTAGAGCTAATCAATGAACAAGATACACGTGATACATCTTGCCAATAGGTATGCCATCTCAAAATTCTAACCTAGTAATTTATCTTGACAACAAATATGATCCAAACAAATACTCTGAGCTTAAGAAACCAAACAAATTTAGTCCACATAGTATGACATGGCTATTAAGACAACAAAAAGGGAAGTCTCTGTAGATAAACTCTCAAAATGTAATTTTATAATAAGTCTTCTAACTTTAAAATAAAGTTGTTTCTCTGTTAGTACCACATTTCCTTAGTTGCTCTACATTATCTTCTTAACTCTGCCTACCTCCAATTTTTAACATTCTATTTTTATGAGCTAGGGTTGTGGCTCAGAGGTAGAGCACCACCTAGTATGTTTGAGGCACTAGATTCAATCCTAAGCACCACATAAAAGATAAATAAATAAAGGTACTGTGTCCACCTACAACAAAAAATATTTTTTAAAAAAATTACATTTTTAGAGTTTTGTCTGCTCCACTTTTATATGCTTCATTCCAACAAAATAAATCCTACCTTTCCGGGGTCATCCTTTGAACGAGGCACTTTAAGGAAACATTTGTTCAGTGACAGATTATGTCGTATGGAATTCTGAAATTAAAGAAGAAAAGTCATTGGGTTATGGAATCCAAAACATAAAACCTATCTGTAAAAACAGAATCAGAAACCTAAATATCCCTATGCACTGTAATACAATTACAAATGGTATAAAACTTTTATAATGGGCTTCAAATTAAACCTAACTTTCCAATACAAATAATACAAAGGGAAATAGTTATTAGAAAAGACATTTTCTAGTGGACTCCATAACAATGTAACATATGTAGTACTGTAAATGTTTAAGACCTTTTTAATAATGCAAGAATAAGCCTGTGATGTAATGTTAGGTGCCAAATATAAAACTACATGTCACAGCTTTAATCATATTTTTCAATTTATGTATTTATTCTTGGAAACAAATCAGAATGCAAATGATATAAATTATTCTACAATGAATTTTAGATGATAATTATTTTCTTATTTTTTACTTTCCTATAAGGTACAAATGGTCTATAAGGCACAGATATTAGCATTTTTAAATTAATTTTTAAAATGTAATTAATGGATTTAATTAATGTATTTAGTTAATTTAAAATTTAATTAATTAATTTAATTAATCTATTTTTTAGAATGTAAGGACTAGGAGTGTAGGAGGGTGCTTGCCTAGCTCGCACAAGGCCCTGGATTCAATCCCAAGGGGGAAAAAAGTTTTTAAAATTCCTCTGCTCTATTACAAAAGCATACAGAAGTCAATTCGGAGCCCATTGCAGTGGTGCACACCTGTAATCCCAGCAGCTGAGGAGGCTGAGGATCACAAGTTCAAAGCCAGCCAGGCAAAAGCAAGGTGCTAACCAACTCAGTGAGACCCTGTTTACAAATAAAATATAAAATAGGGCTAGGATGTGACTCACCTGAGTTCAATCCCCAGTACCCCCCCCCAAAAAAAAAGTCAATTTGATTCTCACTATATCTGTAATGGGAAAAAACACATGGAAAGAGATGGCTACAAAGGATTAGAAAGAACATCTAGGTTCCTCAATGTAGCAGGGAAGAATAAACCTGGGTGGTAGGAAGATGCCTTTGGAGACCTAGTGAGTCTGTGAAACACGAAATTTATTCATGAGTAAGTGGGATTATACCATAATTCTCACAGAAAATACCCCTAAAGTTCTTTTCTTCTCAATTAAATGCACCAAAATCCATTCCCCGATAATGTTGTTACCAAATGACCACTTATCTGGTAAAGACAGGCCCCAACTGTATTTAATCACTGCTTAGAATGGTACCTTCTGGGGTCATTTTCTGGCATAATCTCACAGGGGTGAGTTAAAAGAGGTACAGAGAATATAAATTCAAGCCTACAGTATTGCCAAAATAGAAATTTAAAATTTATGAATGGGAATTCTACCTCTGCTTGGTATATAAGCAGCTACAAATGATGCTCCCTCACAAAAAAATGAGAAACACTGGGTAAATTGAAAAATCACACAGGTTGTAAGGCAACTAAGCAAACAACATTCCTAAAAGAGACAAGGCTATTCAAGGAAGAACTAGACGTGCAAACTGCCTCAACTTTGGCAAGGTGTGTGAAAAAGATCTGGCCACCATTAAGTAGGTAACAAGAAATTAGTTAAAATTTTAAAGGCCAACCACGGGCTAGTGAGTTAGTTTAGAACAAGGGCTCAAGTCAAAGAATTTCCACCCACTCTTAAACTTTTCTCCTTAAGCCTTTACCATGTGCTCCTTAGAAACATTAGGGTAGGATAAGAGACTGGAAAACATCTTCCTTAGTGGCACAACTAGCAAGGAGGTGACCGAAGATAGCAAAATAGTGACGGGTAGGGGAGCTACAAAGCCCACCAACCTTGCATATATTTTTACAGAGAAAAAAAAAAATCTAAAATCTAAGTTTGAAGTAGAAGCAGCAAAATCTCTCAACCACAGGACTCTGGCAAAAATTCATTACTTCTCAGGGGAAAATAGAAACAGAACACTTTTGTCTCTAGAGAGGAATAGGAAACCCAAGATACACATAAAGATCTACTGGTACTGGAGGAAAGCCTTTCTGTGGAGGTGATATAGAAACTTCTTGGGCTCAGCATTCTATATTAACACCATGCAAAAGGTCTGCTGCAAGTGGGGAAGTGGGAGACACTCCCATTCAAAAGCAACTACAAATACAAGATTAGTTTGGCTGAGGGAAAGAAGCATTGAAAAAGTCCTACCCCCAAGTTCAAGAGCCTACGTATGATTGAGGCTGGACCAACAAAACAGAGAAAAACCCTCACCTCTTACCAAAAAAAA